GTTTTCCGTGTGTTTTTGTTATTGTTTGTGAAGTTGACGGTAATTTTGAAGTTAGTTTGTTCCTGTTCCGTAGTTAAAGTTGTACCGAGTGGAATAAAAGTTGTAAGCTGAAGAAAGAATTTGATACTCGGCCATCCACGGTACAATAATTTTAATTTGATTTTTGAGAACTTTAAAGAACGCTGTATTAAAATATTTTTAGATACATCGCCTTTGCATTAAAAAAAGTTAAATTTTCTCGTTCCAGAGGTAATTTAGCCCATAAACTCCCGGGAGAACTAAGTTTCTGACATCTTGAAGCAAAACAGTAATTTAGCGTAGACCAGTAATGCGTCCAATTTGTTCTCCACCCGGAAGTTTAATAAAGTTCTGCACTTTTCAATAATTAACCGACGCAAAGTAACACAAATTTATATTCGTTGATTGCCAGCAACTTTTAAAACTTGAATACGTTGCGATTTATTGGGCTCAAGCAAAAATTGATTAACTTGAAAAAATGCTTGCCTTTCTAAGGTAAAAGTCCCAGAAAGTCCCATTTTATTCGAACAATGTCGTATTGTAAATGCCATGGAAAACTATCATTAACTTTCTTCACGGCGCTTTCTTTTGTCTGACAGTTTAGCAAACTAAGCGCAAATTATTCGAAAAGTTTCCTAGAAGCGACCTTGCCCAGAAAATAGTTAGTTAACGGATCGTCTACTGTTGGTCAAAACGTAAGAAAATTAACGCATTTGTTTATTGGAACACCCAATTGTGTCAATAATTCGTGGTGAACTTTTAGTTAACTTACGTTAGTAACTAATTGAAAATATTACAAGTGTTGAATTGTGTGTAGTATGTGTTTCAGCCGGAAATCTATTTTCCCGTTGAAAGGTTTCGTGATTCTCTTTCACCTCAGAAGAGCAGATTAACTTTTTGCCCTGCTGTCGAAAGAAAATTGATATTTTGCTAGATTACACTTGATTGATTGTAGTCTGGAGTAATCCATAACATAACTATTTTTTTATGGATGGCTTGTTAGATTCTTTTCGTATTAGCTTCTCCTCGAAGATTATAATCTATATGGTTAGCAACTTTCCTTTTCGTATTGGAAAATGACATGTTATTGATATACCGCATAGAATCTGCTGAGCTATTTTTCTGCTGTAAATACAGCAGTAATAGTATACAGCATAAGCTTGTTTCACATTTTGTACCAAAAAAATCCAGGAATTGTATGGTGGAAGCAAGTACGAGTTGACGTGAAATTACAGTTCAAAATCAATGGATTCAAAGGCAAATATTGACCTGCCAATTAATTGTAAATTTGCGCACCTTCGTATCGAGCAGGAGCTTATAAAGCAATATTTTCGATATGCAAATAGATACGTTCATTATTTCGATTCGGGTACGATTATTAATGTAAATATGAAAATTGAATTCAACTAATTATTATGCGTCTATAGGAATTGGTAGTTGTTGATTGATAATTTTTGTTGTCTTGTGATACTGGTTTTGATTAGAAGAATTAGCCGAAAACGCATCCGTGGATTTTACATTATCAGATATTTATCTTCAGTTCTTAAGGTTTTTTGTATTTCATTTTTTCCAACGTTTTGAAATTCTTTTATCCCCTTTTTCGTTAGAAGAAGAGATTTCTATTTAATTTCATCTCCGTTTTATAATATTTTATATTTGCACTCAAAGCAATTTTGATACCAAAAAGGAATTCAAATCACATGAAAATAAATAAGAGAGTTTATTCTAATAATTAAGTTGTATTAAAAATACCTTTAATTCTATGAAAAATGGAAAATGATACAATTAAAAAACTATCTTGAGCTTCATAAACCGAGAGCGAAGCCGATTTAATAAAAAAAGCTAATTTGGCTGTTTATTTATATTTGAAATAATACACAGCATGAGTTATGGAAACGAACATCACCAGTTTATATCATCATCACAAAAGCGAAATTTACACAAACTGACTGAAGTAAATACACCCAATTTCTCCAGAGATTACATAAATTAGAACGTCTGAAAATTATGCTCCAGCTTTAGAATTTCTGTTTGTATTCAAACTTAAATAATTTTTCCAATACCGCATTTTCATCAAATCTATGCAGATTTTTTGCCATTAATATTGAAAAAGGTCGCTTTGTTTTCTATGAAATAAAACCCGCAAAAAGTACGCAAAGCCTCGGCCACTGGTGTGATATAACATTATTTGAATGAAACATTTATTAAACACGCTGGGCTTATTTGTTTTGGAAATTGCAGTTGAATTCGACTTGTAAATGGTAACGCTACAAATGAGTTTTCCTCTTGAATTATTGTGTTTAAATAACCTTTTAAATGCCAACTAGCTTTTTAGTTTCCTAAAATACTACCAGAATACTTTTTCTATAATACATTCAAAATTATCATATTTAATTCACTTTATTATTTACGCACTAACTACTGAACGTTTAACCCGCATTTGACATAAATAGTAGAGTCTATATTTCAAGCCTTCAATACTGTGTAGTAGAAGTAGAATCTTATAAAAATTATAAAAATTAGCAAACACTCCTTGTATCAATTTTATACAATATCTGGCAGAATCGCTGTCGCCTTCACAATAGAACATTACACTTAACATCATTTTATTGCTTGTATCTACGTGCAAATACACTCGAATCTTGTATTTCATTTCTTCGTTGAAATCTGCGTGCCTTTGAATGGGGTTTTACATATTTGATATCGATATATTTCAGCAGCAAACCTGAAAATGATGTGAGAATTTACATCTTTGGAATATGCCAAGTCAGTTTTAAATCGCAAATTTGCAACTACCATAAACCGCTAAAAATTGTACTGCTTGAGACCGTCAGCATTTGGTTTTAGGGTTTTATTAAATGTCATACAGTTAAAAAGTGTTCTAGTTGCCAAAAGCCTAAGTTGAAGAAGTTCGTTTGCCTGCAGGAGGTTTTTTTCAATCGGAATTGTTCTCTTTTGATGGGATGCAAAAGAGGAAAACGAGCAAAGTTAATTTATGTAAATATATTAATTATATTTCCATCTAGGTTCGTATAATGTTATGCATAGATAGCAAAGGAGTCATAATTGCTCAAAACGCTTTAATCTGCCTAAAATAAATGAAAAAATGGCAATTAAAGAAAATGGGTTCTGTTATTTAAAGTTCTGTTACAATTTGTTCTAATGAAAGCAAAAGCGAAAAAGTCCTTTAGAAAAAATTGAAATTATTTTATTAGTTGAGATTTTACCTCAAAGTCGTACTTATTCGCTGAAGAGAAACGCTCAACTAAAGTGTTTCTAAACATTTTTTCGGATCTCAAGATTCTGTCGTGTCTTCTAAGGAATTCGTTGGATTTCTAGCTCTTTTCCGCTGAAGCTGATTTGAAATTCTAGTCATTTTGAGGGATATTGATTTTTTTGTGAAAATCTACCTTATGAAATTTTTAATCAAAAAGTAAATTTTTACAACCATTTTTTTTCTCATTGGACTGTTTTCGACATAAGAAGCTTCAGAATATACATGTATGAAATTTTGGGTTTATAATAAGTAAAATGTTGTCGGTTAAAGATAGTGACCGCTCAAAAACGGCTTAAAACAGGCAGAAAATATTACTTATTTTGAATCTGAAAGCTCAAACGTGTTTTGTGTGTTTTTTAAGGGCATCGCTGCATTCCTGACTCCTTTCTACTGAAAATGGTGTAGAATTGAAAACATCTTGAAAAACATGATTTTTTTAAGAAAATCGACTTGTATCGATTTGAATTGAAATCGACAATTGAAATTTTCGATCAAAAATAAAGAGTTCACAACGGTGTTTTTTGAGCTCATTGGATTCTTTCCGACCTTAGACGCTTTTTAATATACAAATATGAAGTTCTGTTCTATATGTACATATATGACTTTTCGGTTTTATAATAAGGACAATATCGTCAGTTAACGTTAAAAGTCGTGACCGCTGAAAAACGACTCAAAATGAACAGAAATTGTTGATTATTTCGGATCTGAAGAATCTAGCGTATTTTTTTACGGCGGGTAGCTGCATCCGCTTCTTCATCTTCACTTCTTCACAATTGAATTTATGTAGACTTCAAGCCATTTTGAAAGACTTGAATTTTTTGCGAAGCGAAAATCAACCTCATACCCATATTAAATTTTCGGTCAGGAATTGAAATTTCACAACCGTGTTTCTTGGGCACATTAAATTATTTTCGACCCAAGAAGCTCCTCAATATTTAAATTGAGCTTTTGTTAAGTGTTTCAAAAATCAAATCCATATGAAATTTTTATATTCTGTGAACCTGTAAAAAATGATAACAGAAATATTAAGGTTTCTTCGAAAATGAAATAGTGGTCGACGTCGCTCTTTCCTTGTACTCAAATACATATGTTCCCAAACCTACATATGCCACTTTCTATTCTTTTCTATACTTCCTATTTTAAGTCAATCATCGGAGTGCTGGATATTAAAGCTGAAAATAAATATCTGTTTTACGGGGACGGAAAATTACAAATCCTATAAATGAGTGCCAATATATGGAATAAGTATATCCATTTGTTATCATAATAGTTTTCTTGCTTTGTTTTCGTTTTCAGTACATCATGTATTTATGAAAAAACTGCATCTTTGCACTGACAAAAATAATTTTGAAATACATAAAAAAACTTGATAGATAGGAAGCAAACCAGAAAGGAAACATTTCCCAGTTTTTAAAATAAAAGCCTTCAGTATTTCTCTTATCGTAACTTCTTAGATACGAGTAGCATAGCCATTTTTTGGTTGTGTAAATAATTTCTTTTTAATCACCCAATTTTTTCCATTGCCATTCACACATTTCTTTCTTACAGTTCGCTTTAGCGCAATTTTAAGGAGCACTCCTATTTTTCGGTTTCATTGTTTAATAACCACTTGTTGAATTGTGTTTCGAAAAGCTGATCCATAAATTACCTTTTTGTAGGTTCGATAAAAACCCTTAATTGGCTGATTGTGATGAGGGTATGCAATATGTAGCAGGCCTTTGTCAGCCACAAAATTAAACTGCTAAATATAGAAAATAATAATTTAATATGCACGCAATTTTAATGCAAAACCGTTGACACTTTGTTTGCGTTTTAAACGTGGTTATTGCGCTATTGCGACTATTGCGCTATTTTATTACAGTCACTAGTTGTAGGAATTTTCATCAATGTGCTTGCTGGTAATTATAATGAGTGGTAACAAGTATGGAAATTAATTTATGAAGTGGCGACATGTTATAAGCGTATTTTTGCTGTGGTACGAAACGTTCCTCTTTTCAATTAAATTAGGCGAATTCTTTAAACGCGTGTTATAAATAATGGAAATTGGTTAAATTAGTTTTCTGGTGATTTGACCCAATTTATTTTCGAAACTAACGGGTTTGGACATAATTACTGCTATCATTAGTTGAATATTAAGGCAATGTTTCCAAATCTGTTTCTTTCATTTATCTAGAATTTTATTTTATTTACAAATATTTGCGACAACTTTCAAAAAAACCAAAAGAATAATAGAGAGTTATTAAAAAGAAATAATTAAAATATTCAAAATACAATCGCAATTCTTCAGGATTTGGAAGTAATTCGTAAAACTACAATTTGCCAAACTTTCCTGCAGGTTTTTAGGCATATCAACTAAAACAGCTTTGCAGTAGACGATATTCGTTAAAACTTTTAAAATCTACGACCGATTTGCAGACTTAACAACCAGCCATGTGGATATGCATGTATAATAAGTGGTGCTTGTAAAGTCGTGTAGTTAAAAAATGGTGCACCAGAGCAATATCGATTACGCTTTTTTGTTGTTTTGGGTGTTGCGCTCTAAAAGTGATGAAAAGAAAATAAATCTTTAAAACCACAAAAAAGTTGACACTGCATTTGCACCGCTACTCATCACTTATTGCTACTATTCAGTGGGGATTCGATTCAGTTTCATAAAATGCGTTTATGGATTTTCGTAGAATAATGTTCGAAAACGAAAATGATTTCGTCTGATCTTGTAACTTTTAACTTCTAGATGTAAATTTGTAATGGTAAACTGATCTATTAAATTGTTTTTAGCTCCAGCAGTTTACTTTTTGCTCATTATGCGGGCGTATTTCGTTACTCGACTTTTCAGCAAAGATTGATGGTACAATTTGCAAAATATGTGGAGCAATTTAATATTAACTACGCAAATACAGACAAAAAACGAATGTTTTGGGCTTGAGAATGTCAAGGAAAATTTCAAATCATGTAAGCGAATTATGGCGCTTAAATGAGAATGTTGAACATACTTCATTTTGGTTGGGGACTGTTTTAGATATTTTGGGGTTTCACGTTAACAAAAAAATATTATATGAAATGGTAAACTCTCTAATTCCTTAATTTCTTTTTTCGTCAATTTTATTTATTACAAAAAGAGGAGCAGCAGATCATATTTACATGATTTCTATTTCTACCAAAAGAGGCTGTTTAATTGAATGATCATCACTGGCTATAGCTCTGAGCGAAGCCAGTAGCAAAAAATTAATCACTATGTTATGAAAATTGTAGAAACATTTTTCAACGTTAAATGATTCGAATAAAATTAGGACATTGCGCCCCCCGAAAAGTAGCCAGTTAAAAGAAGGATAAAGGATTGGATTCCGGACAACAATCTCATCTAATCTTGTATGTTTGTCTAACTATAGTTCTCATATGACAAATTTTACATTTCCAGCTTTGTATCAATTCTGATTTAAATCTTCAATACCCGGATATTCGGGTAATTTTCAACGAAGTATTGAGCATAACACTTTGGTCAGATTTTGCATTTCCATTGTATTTACTGATGCGCAGCTTCTTACTTTTATCCCTATATTTTGGTTTTAGTTCATTTTTTTCTGGAAATTAATGAGACACTCTGCAGGCGTTCATGCACATTTGTCCTCCGAAAAGGTTTCCCAATAGTGTTTGAGCCTACAATAAAGAACGTCTCGAAGTTTAAAAATTGTAATCGTTCAAAAACTTTCTAAGTTTATGATCTATCGCGTCTTTCAATTAATTAATAACATTCCTCACAAGAAGTCCTCAAGAATGCAACATTTCTCAGGCTTGAATAAGTCAGATATCGCACGATAAAAATCATTTTTTTAGAATTTTTAGAATCAACAGCTAGCGGTATTGAGGGAGTTTCCATCACCTCATTGCAATACGCGCTTTCTTGTCGAGAAAATGGCGTAGAATTTGAGGCATTTTATTGAGGCTCATAATCATCAAAATCGCATAATTGTTGGCTTAACTCTCCAACATTCTCGTAGCAACTTATGTATAAAAGAATTTAATATTTTGAATAAATTAGCCACTGAACTGTTCAACATAAATATAAATAAAACTGCAGAAGTTCAAACAAAATAATATTCCCCGAGGTACAATTGGATATGAATTAAATTAAGGGCAATTTCCCTTCAGATCGACACTTCCGGACTTTGCTGGTTGGCAATTTTCTCGTTAATTAAGTTTTATCTCTGCACAATAAGTATTCCAGTCAATTTGAGTAAAGGCCAAATATACAATAAATTTACATTGGAATATCGAAAGCAATTTGTTATGCTAATCATTTGCAAAGCTAATTTATAAGCTTCCAATTCTGTTGTCCGCTTTCCAATGCAGTTTGTGAGTTCGAAATGGTAACAATGAAAATTTTACTTACGTGTTAGGAACATTTCTCATGGTCCGGTGTCTCAGGAAAATAATAACCAAAGTTCCGTTTCCCAAACAGCCAACCACAAAAATCAGAAAGAACAGTACCGGCACAAAGTATGTTTCTGGTCGCTGATCGTATGGAATGTAGAAGTCTTCACTGGAATTATAACCCAACATGGAAAAATCTGTTCCATTATCGTAAATGTCACTAGCATTTGAATGCAAATTCATTAAATCCATGATCGTAAGATTGTTTTAATGTGAGAAGAATACGTGAGCCTGATGATTGGTGTAAATCATTTTCAAGTTTCGCTTCCCATTGCCTGAGTCGAACCTGCAAAAGAAACATACAAAACTCAAAAAGAAGTACATATTTGAAATTCTAACGATTTATCGGAGTAACAATGGAATTATCCGTTTTCTGATTGTTTATTCAAAAGGCAAAATTAGGTACAACCCATGGTTGCAACAAGTCGGCCCTGCCGTTAGTCAGAAAAGTGCTTAAATAAATAACGACATTGAATGTTAGCAGCTGGGAAATCCCACAGCGCGAATTTCACTTTACTTTTTTTCTGCAATCCCAAACCTGAATATGTTAAATTAGAGTGGACTAACTGGGGATGTTGCATAATAAATAGTGTAAGAGTTCGTGTGTGCATAGGACCAGTTAGGTGCCACGGTTCATCAAAAATTATTTTTACATCGATCCGATTTATGGGGAATGTTGAGGAAAAAATTAAAAGAAATCCATTACCAGGATTTTTCCACCGACTATCTATTTGAGCAACCTGCAAAGCAGCAAAATCCTGCTTGTGGGCGTCAAGTGTTAAGTTAATAAAATGACTGCAGCGGAAAATCGCTTAAGAGCAAGGCCGAAGTGGCTTTGATGCGTTACAGGATTAAATGCTTAGTATCATATAAGTGAGCTACTGTGTTCTAAGTGGTCTCATAACTAGTTCTCCTAGCAATAGACTGCTAACTATTTTTTTAATTGCCCGATTTGTTTAATCTACAGTTCGGAGCGCCCAGATGAAAGTTTTACAATTGCGATCAAGTTGTAATGTAAGTAGGGTTTTTAAGATTGAAATTTAAAATAAATCAGCTGAAATTATGCCTTGAAATTGATTCAATTTATCTGGCAAACTATAATTAGAAGAAATTTGAAAATTGAACCGTGTGCCGAAGACATTGGGAGCAAGCGATCTAAAATATTTCTAAAATGRCCACACTTCCGATCAAACCGGATGTAAGTATCAACTGGCTTATTTTAAATGGAACACCCTATATATTACTACGTTTACATATTATATATTACATCCTATACCTAAGTCTAACCGTTTTTGATATATTTAAAATTTTATGAGAAAAATGACAATTTCAGCCACTCAAATAATTATTCAGTTTTTCTACAGGGTGTTCCAAAAGTAATGGCACAAAACAAAATGGCGGATTCCTGGGGTGAAAATATGGTGATTTAACACAACTTACTTTAGTCCAAAAGTTGACGGTTGCCGACATACAGAGCGCAGTTACATTTTAATTTCAGTTTTTCGTTATTCCACTTTTTATTTAATATTTTTATTAAATTTTGTATACGGGGTTTTGAGCATCCGAAAACCAAATGTCCCATCAGATTTTGATCAACTTGTAGAAAAAGCAACTTGCGGCGATATGTGGGAAAAAAAATGGTTTTAGCTACTTAGTCAGCAAGTATTCTGGCCTTAAAACTGGCTTTGTCTAATCGCCTATTAATTTTGCACAAAAAAGGTATTCTTAATTGATGTCCCAACAAGCCTCTGTTTCCGAGATATTTGCGATGAAACTGCAAAATGCAGAATTGTGAGGACATTTTACAATGCATGTCAAGTAGTATGACGCAGCGACACGGATTTACTTGGTGTCTGTCAAAGTGACACTAGTGCCACTACATACTTAAGTTTTGATTTAAATTAGTTAAAATGCCAAGGCATAATTTTTTAGTCTATCAAAATGTTAGTGGAGGCCAAACTGCGTTACTTAGAATTATATTCCAATAGGAGGCAACCGAATTTCAAGTTATTCGGAGACATCTACCGTCCGTTGGGGGAAACTTTAGGACCAAAGTTAATATCTTGAGACGTCCGGAAATTTTAACTCCAGATCGAGAGGAAGACGTTCTGGTTCGTGTTGGAGAAAATCCAGAAATAAGCACAAGACGATTGGAAACTGCAACTGGCGTAAGCAAGTCTTCAGTTCATARGATTTTGCAGCAAGAAAATCTCCATCCTTGCCATTTTACGCCGGTACAGATTTTATTAGAGAACGATTTTGCTAGAGCCGTCAATAATTATTTAAACCAACATGTTACAAATCGGTGGATATGTCGTGGAAGTTCTTGGGCTTGGCCGGCGCGAACTCCAGACTTTAACCTATTAGATTTTTGTGTTTGGGGTTATTTAAAATCATTAGTGTACGATCAAGCGATAGGCACCCGAGATGAGTTGATAAATAAAATAATGAATGCCGCCGAATGATTTCGAAATAAAAATAAGTTTTCTTAAATTAGACAATTCGTCAATAAACGCAAATGTATTGAATTTAACAGGGGACATTTTGAGCAATTGCGGTAGAAAATGAATGTTTTATTGGTAGTGATTAAGATAAAAAGATCCTACTGTTAAAGAATGATGTTTAGTAAATATTTTTTCACTTAGATACTTATTGTGGCTTATTTTCTGAAAATACTGCATTTTGCGGTGTAATCGCAAATATCTTGGAAACAGAGGCTTGTTTGGACATCGACTAAGAATACCTTTTTTGGACCAAAGGCGATTAGATACAAGCAACTTAGAAGTCAGAATACCGGGTGACCAAAAAGTTGAAACAATGTTTTTGCCCAGATATCGCCGTAAGTGGTTTTTTCTACAAGTTGATCAAAATCTGACGACACAATTGGATTTATTATGCTCAAAAACCCCTGTATACCAAATTTCGTTAAAATATGCGTCTCCGTTCAAAGTAGAATATCGAAAAACTGAAACTAAAATGTAACTTTGACGCCCTGTATCTCGGCAACCGTCAACTTTCGGATCAAGGTAAGTTGTGTTAAATCATCCTATTTTCAGCCCAGGAATCCACCATTTTAATTTTTCCCTGTATAAGGGAATGTATACTACTTGCTTTGAGTCACATTTCTGGCTGAAGAAGACTTACTGTAATGGAATTTTGATAACATTTTGAAAACTATTATTACAAAGTGTTAAAAAAATAAGTTTTAAAATGACGTTGACAAAATCGCCCTAAATCAATTTTTTCAAATGGAAACACCTATTTTTTATAATTTTATCTTATTCAGTATTATAAATAAGGCCAAGTTTTGTATAAAGTTGTCTATTCCAAACTTGTTTAGTTGTCCAAATATTGTCAATTTAATGTTTTTATATGACTAATTTGCCCTCGTTTCATGTACGTCCTGCCAATCTTAGTTGCCATGACGAAAGTGGCCATTTGTAATACAATCAAATGCCAAAAGAATTCTGACAGATGTCACTTACTTTTTGAAAATAATTAATAATCATGCCCGGACGCTTAAATTATACAAACAAATATTATTTAAAGTTACTTATTATTCATGGAGAATGTGATAAAGTTTTATCAAGAACATGTGACTCATTTGACATTCGATATCCACAAAAACCGAAGCCTTCATGCTGTAATGTTAAATAAATTATAGAAAATTTCAAGAATTTTGAATACGACTAAATAACAGTGCATGTTCAATTTATAAGGGCAACCAGAAAAATTAGAGACCCCTAGACTTAAAAAAACCTGGTTTTTGTTCTTGATATAATAATAATTAATAATATATAAACGGTTCTTGATATAACTTTATCACATTCTCCATAAATAATAAATGAGTTTAAATAATCTTCGTTTGTATAATTTAAGCGTCTGGGCATAAAAAAAATAATTTCCGAAAGGTAACTGACAGCTGTCAGCATTATTGCGGCTTTTGATTGTATTAAAAATGGGCATTTTTATTATGGCAACTAAGATTGGCAGGATTTAAAATGAGATGAGGGCCAAATAGCCATATAAAATCATTAAATTGACAATATTTGGAAAACTAAACAATTTTGGAATAGAGAACTTTATACAAACTTACCCTTATTTATAATACTGAATAAGACAAAATTATAAAAAAGGGGGGTTTCCATTCCAAAACATTGATTTAAGGCAATTTTATCAACTTCATTTTGAAACTTATTTTTTTAACACTTTGTATTAGTCGTTATCAAAATGTTGTAGAAATTCCATTAAAGTAAGTCTTTTTCAGCAAGAAATGCGACTCAAACTAAGTAACACGTACGAAAAATAAAAATTATTCGAGTGGTTGCAACTGTAATTTTTTACATAAAATTTCAAATATATCAAAAACGGTTAGAATGCAATAACAGGAAGAGATAATGTAGAAGACGCATGGGAACAAATAAAAAACAGCGTAAAGAACAGTGCTAAGAAAGCCTTAGGAGAAAGGACAATAAACATAAATAAAAGAAACAATAAGCCATAATTCAGCCCGGAAGTAAAGGAATTAGCAAAAGGGAAAAATAACGCTTGCATAAGGTACATCAGCAACAGATCACGAGAAGAATATCGAGTTTACAAGAGGGAAAGAAACAGAGCAATTGCTCATTAATTGATGCGATTAAACCACTCAAAAGGACATACTGGGAAAGGTTCTCGGTGGAAATCTATACGGGGGCCAGAGGAAGATCCGTGACACGCTACGAAAGAGAAAAAGCCAGTCAATGAAGACATAGTAATAAATGCAATAGACCAAGAAACATGGGCAACATATTTTGAAAACCTATATGATAACAATAGCAAAAAACAGCGATGATACAGAAATGGAAAATTGATCATCTCCAGACCATCCAGAGGAAAGCATAACACTTGAGAAGTACAAACGACCATACAGAGATTAAAGAAAAAAAATCTCCAGGCACTGACAGCATTCCAAATGAATTACTAAAGTTTAAAAAAATTTGAAGATAATTAGTAAAGTTATTCGGGAAAAATTAGAACAAAGTGGAATAATACCCAATGAATGGAGAATCCGCATAACAATGCCGATATACAAAAAGGTCCCAAAATGGGATCCGAAAAACTCGAAGGGCATAACGTTATTAAGTAGTGTAATAAAATTGCTAACGAAAATATTAGTAGATAAAATAACTGATAAAGTAGGAATCTCCGAAGATCAGCAAGGCTCAAATAGATCAACGATAGAAGCAATATTTATATTCCGCCAATTGATAGAGGAATCCAATCAATTCAATAACCCAATGTACA